AATTTATTTTGAGTATCATGCTTGGGGACAATGCTATTCCAGTAACAGAGGATATTCTGTGTACAGGAACTCCAATAATTTGAAGGGTTGTGTTCAGGCTAACTTGAATATTTGAGATGTGGTTGGGTGAGGTGATTTGATGCAAAGGTGCTTGCAATAGTTTTTCACTTACCGGTACATTGAAATGTACATGATTTCATGACAGTTACCCCCAACAACATGTTATACCGTGGGATATATAACCATCCGTCTGTCAGTCAGAGATCTTTTCGTTTCCTGAGCAAAATTTAAAGATGGTTGATAAACAAGCATGCGCTACCTACGGTTTAAGTATTTGAAATACTTAAAGAATTTGTCCATGAGGTATTTCATTTTCAAAAATACTAATATTATTGATCTTCTGAAACCCATGCTTGTCGTAAGAGGAGACCTATGGGATCGGTTGGTCAGGCTCGCTGACTTGATTGACACAAGTCATCGTATCCAATTTGCGTAGATCGATGCTCATGCTGTTGATCACTGGATTGTCTGGTCCAGAGTTGATTATTTACAGACAGCCGCCATAGCTGGAATATTGCTGATTGCGGCGTAAAACTAAACTCACTCACTACAAGGAGCCTAAGTTAATGATTTACCAGTTTTAAGAAAAAGATGTTCTTCAGTAAAATTATGTTATACATCTAATTTATGTGAATTAGTTTCAAGTTTTTTCATGAAAATTTAAGTCCGTTTTTCCAATGATTTCAAATATACCAGTTATACTTTAAATATTTGCAAGGGTTCACTCAATTCTGCTCACATAAGGGGGGCAGTGGGGTAGCCTAGTGGTTTAAGCGTTCGCTCCTCATGCCGAAGACCCGGGTTCGATTTCCCACATGGGTACAATGTATGAAGCCCATTTCTATTGTCCCCCACCGTGATAATGCTGGAATATTACTAAAAGCGGCGTAAAAACACACTCACTCACCCCGCCCTCATAATAATATGTAGTTGCCAGTTAAAGTTAAAAGAGAACAAACTTATCCTTCAATCTCCTTTTGAAATTGTTTTTAAATTAATACCAAAGAAAATCTAAATGGTAATATATTTTCCTAATCTATCATTCTGGCATATGTTTCTTCAAGTTTTGTTAAATCTTGATATATAATTTCCCTTATATCACCAAGTTGCGTAGTCTTACAAGACTGCAGTGCATATAGTTCTGTGGGCTAATTATGGCAGCAGAATTACCTCAGTCCTCCTCCTCATCTCGTTTAATTGAAGCTTTTATCTGTCTTTTAATCCTTAATCTATTTGGCTAACTATAGCCTCATTTAGATAGGGTTTTATAAAAGATATAACCTTTCCTTTCCGTTCTGTTACTTCAACCTATTGTAAACAAAGGGGAGATAACTCTCATTTACTTGTTTCCAGTGTGCTGGAGTGTCAAAAATCCAAGTTCAAGCCTCATGTCATAATTTTTAAATTAAAGTTTTAATTTTCATTATTTACTATTTTGGACACATCAGTTGCATGTTTTGCAAGATTTTATACCATTTTCTGGACTTACTTTCAGAATTAAAAAAAAATAAATAATTGAAAAATACTATTTTTCATAGTTTTGCCCACAAAAAGCCACTTAGCCATCAACATCCGAGGGAGGATTTTTTATATACTGTTTATATAACTATTGTAAACGATATAAACACAAAACCATTTCTGTACCAATTTTTGGGAGGTTCAGTGATTTTTTCCACTTATTTTACTGGACTAATACGATTTAGTAGAGGTGTATAACGTTATACTTGATCAAGTGTGAATTCCAGGAATGTATCACTATCCGGGGTCTGGATGCTTTAGGGGTAAGGTGTGGTGTGGAACCTTCCACAAGCATAGACAAATCCAGCATAGTATCGACATTTCTGGAAGGCTTTTTAGACAATTTAAGGTGGCAAGCGCAGCTCATATTATAGCAAGAACAGCGTCATGTGAAGATCATTTTCACCCTGGATGCTCAGATTCGGCCTATTTACTTTAAAGCTTGGCCACCGAGCACTGGTGCCAGGTTGATATTTTATCACTGACCTATTACCACATTGTATTGTATCAGAGACCATAATCCACCACAAAATATATGGTCTCTGATTGTGTACTACAACTGGATTTCCAGACTTCTATGTTAACTATTTGTGAAATCGACACGTAACAACAGTATATAACATGAAATGCCGATTGCAAAACCTGATAAGGTCGTTTTCACCATTACGTGGTTTACTGTTTCAACTGAGCAAACATGGTCCTCCTTGATCCTTGATATATCATAAAAGATATATTTCAAAACATGGCAAGAAGTAAGGATATACTCCGAAACGTTGTGTTCCTCATAATAAAGAAGTTAAACTCTCTTCCTTATGTATATCACTTATAAATGCCATTCAAAGACCCGGGGGCCGTTTTACAAAACTCTCGTAAGCCTAAAATCTCGCAGGTTTTCTCGCAGCAATCGTACCTCCTATACTGTAACACAGACTTACGACTGTCGTACCCCCTATACTGTAACACAGACCTACGACTGTTGTACCTCCTATACTGTAACACAGACCTACGACTGTCGTACCTTCTATACTGTAACACAGACTTACGACTGTCGTACCTCCTATACTGTAACACAGACTTACGACTTTCGTACCTTCTATATTGTAACACAGACCTACGACTTTCGTACCTCCTATACTGTAACACAGACCTACGACTTTCGTACCTCCTATACTGTAACACAGACCTACGACTGTCGTACCTTCTATACTGTAACACAGACCTACGACTGCCGTACCTTCTATACTGTAACACAGACTTACGACTGTCGTACCTTCTATACTGTAACACAGACTTACGACTGTCGTACCTTCTATACTGTAACACAGACCTACGACTGTCGTACCTTCTATACTGTAACACAGACCTACGACTGTCGTACCTCCTATACTGTAACACAGACTTACGACTGTCGTACCTCCTATACTGTAACACAGACTTACGACTTTCGTACCTCCTATGCTGTAACACAGACTTACGACTGTCGTACCTTCTATACTGTAACACAGACTTACGACTATCGTACCTCCTATACTGTAACACAGACTTACGACTGTCGTACCTCCTATACTGTAACACAGACCTACGACTGTCGTACCTCCTATACTGTAACACAGACCTACGACTGTCGTACCTTCTATACTGTAACACAGACCTACGACTGTCGTACCTTCTATACTGTAACACAGACTTACGACAGTCGTACCTCCTATACTGTAACACAGACCTACGACTGTCGTACCTCCTATACTGTAACACAGACTTACCACAGACGTAGCGCTACGATAGTTTTGGGAAACGTAGCACTGATGTATATGGTGTCTCACCGTCTATGGTATAGGCACTAGCATGGAGGAGACCACATGCATTTAAGAAACAGGGTTTCCCTACGACCACGTGTAGTGGAATAAAGTATAGTTTTGCCCTGGACTGGTGTAGTTAAAGCATAAAGGCGCGTATGTCCGAGAGCTTTGAGGCTACAATAGACGTCAGCATAGCTAAATGACGTTTTACTTAAATATAAATTTACAAATTTATAGATAGTTTAGATTTTCAAGGGTAATGAACCGAGCGGTACAGAGTCGGTTTGATTTGCCCTGCTAATTTATTCTGCATAAAATCACTGAAGATACTGTAGATCAGCATTTGTCTATTTTCATTTTGTGTCCGTGATTTTCAAAGTCATGATTAATTGATTCCCTTTGAACAACCATGTTTACAGATAACAACCATGTTTACAGATAACAACCATGTTTACAGATAAGCAGACAGTAGGGAATTCTACACTGAACTTGTTTTACATCCAATTGGACCACAAATATACTTGAAACGTGTTTGTAATTCAGGGTACGTCTATGTGTCCATGCAAATGCATAACGAACACAACTTTGTGTTCACGGAATAAACCCACTTAACCAGAAACCACAAACCCACTTAACGATCTTCGGAATTCATCTAACATTGCACAAGAAAGGTCAAAGTTCGAATATCAACCACAGAAATATAATGCACGTGCTACGAGTCAATCGTTTTTGATACCGGTTCCCGTAGTACCATGTATGTATTAATAGAGAATAACGATGAGATATTTTCATAAGGGTATTTCATATGGTTTGTTCAGAGATACCAACCCTCCCGAATTTATGGGAATCATCCCGAAAAAACGCATGTCGAATCCGCCATTCCGACAAAGCCAAATTCATTCCGATTTTTAAAAAAAAGATATAGATAGTCTTACTTACTGGAGGGCTAGGATCATCTTTGACAATAAATAATGAGAATTAAATAAATATAACACTTTATTTACAGAAGTTCTCAAATTGTTTACACAAGAAAGTAATCCGGAAGTTGAGTAGGCTGAATGATAAACTCCACACACTGTTTACTTTATTCACTTAACATTCACAAACACTGCTGCCGAGTACTGCAAACCGGTTTCAGTTGTATAAGGATCGCTATGTGTAATGCCATTGAAAAGTTTCGTTCCTTGAGTGCAACAATTTATAGGGATCCCTAATTTGTTGGGAAATTCCTAATTTTGTCTATCTTAGGGAGCTCAGATTCCTAATTGCACCAATCTGGGGTTATCATCTCTGTCCTTTACACAAAGGACATATTTTCCATAATTCGAAACGTATCCAAGTATCCATTTATCCAATTGTCATATATTATGAAGAACATACCTTCTCAATAACCTTATTTTGCGAATTGTTGGAGTAACTGGTCCACTAAATGTTATAACAAACAAACATCCGAGGACGATACGTACCATAAAGATTATCCTTACTGTTATTTTACCAGTGACAACTAACTCCTTACTGTTATTTTACAAGTAACACTAAAAATATCAGTAGTCGAATAGTCGTTAGAATGGAAGTTAGTAAAGGTCTTTATAACTGTATTGGATATGTTCAACTCCGCCCTACCAAGTCTTTGCTCTGCACGTTTTCTCAGCTCCAGGATCTTCAATTCGCCTATCTTGTAGGTGAGCGCTTGGCCAGGCCATGTGATGTAGCGGTCTATCTCTGTCGCGGCTGTCGCATAGGTGAAGGCGGTGTAGTTGAGGACATACTGAATGGCCTGTTCTCTCTCCCAGCTGTAACACACATGCTTACACAGTGGACAACAGTAGCATTACGACCGCCGTAACATCTGTAACTAATACAGCTAAAAAAAAATAATCACAACTTAAAATGTGGTGGCAAGTAGTGCCGTGTACAGTGCAAGTCTCAAAAGAAGATTCAACGTCAGAAGGAAGAGACGACGTGATCGGGTGATCAGCCTTGCTGACAGTGGGTTGTCCGGAATATTTCTGAGTTCAGTTAAACAGCAAAGTCATGCAGGTTTTATGGTTGACGCTCTTTGTCTTTGTTTTTATTTTCCATTAATGGAATATGATATGTGAAAAAGGGTATTGTAACACCCTCCTGTGTGATCATATGTCGGTCTTTGACTTGAACAAATGTTACTCCGGCACACCACTAAATGACCTAGATATTCCATGAAGTCAGCTTGTTGTAAATTCTCAATAGTGACATTAGAATCGTTAGGTATGTTTTGAAAACGTTTGACACTAAACGTCAAGTTACACATGGTGCACATACTTGAAATAATGCATCCCAGTGTCAACGACCAGTCGGCAAGCGCGGAATATCTCTGAACTGTATCGGCCCATTCTACAACAAAACAAAGGTATTACAATTTGACGATACAAAACACTGAAAATACATCAATATGATCAGTCCCGAAAACAGATCTAAAGAGCCAATTTTGGGCTATACATTCCCGAAAATGCTGCGAAACGTTCTCTGCAGGTTTAGAAGCGAACCAAATATGGCATGCAGGATGAAAGCTGGAAGTTTGCCCTTTTTCTGTGCCCACTTCATAAGTAATGAAGCTACTGTGTACAAGAATGCTTAGCTGCTGTTGGTACTGCATATACATACGTGACATGGACACCAAACCAAAATTACATAATTGAGTCTTGATTGACTTTAATGCTAAAACGCAAGCCTCGTATAACAGTTTTCTTGAATGTGACTACACCGCTGAATATTACATCAAAATATTTGGAAATGGGCTTTGACGGACGTTGACTTACAATTCCATGTCGTCCTTGTAGAGTCCCACTTCTTCGCCGAGGCCTTCTGCATACAACGCCCATCCCTTGAACATAATCAAATCTCGTGTCGTCATTTACTGATCATTTTCAGAACCTCCAAATGTCAATATTTCTGAAACTGCAAAGTATGCTCCCATTACTGCTGTCTACATTCATTTGCCTCGTAATTGTGTTGTGTAAAATAGGAGAACTACATTTACTGTGCTATAATGCAATCCCTACGGTATTAAAGTGCTAATATCATGCTCTATTATGTTGAACTCACAGTGTTAAGTGTCAAAACAAGACTAAGTCAGTGTTACAAATTATCTCCTGTCCTATAATAGGATGCTACAATAGTGGCATCAGAGGTCCTACTGTTGAATTTATTGAGCAGGGTTTGTGCATCTGGCACTCACCTCGCTGAAAGAGGCGAAGATAGGAAACCCCACAGGTGTATCCAAGTACATGTCGAACACGGCGTTCTTACGAAAGCTTGGCATGTTTGAGGTCAGAGAATAGCTGATCTGTGGTAAGGAGAAACAAAATAGATTCGATATTCATGATTATGTGTGAGATTTGAGCATAGCTGATCTGGGGAAAGAAGAAAAAGAATATACTTAAATATTCATGCTGAGATCTGTGATCTGTAAGAAGAAACAGAATATACTTAAATATTCATGATTATGTGTGAGATCTGAGCATAGCTGATCTGTGGTAAGGAGAAACAGAATAGATTCGATATTCATGATTATGTGTGAGATTTGAGCATAGCTGATCTGTGGAAAGAAGAAAAAGAATATATTTAAATATTCATGATTATGCGTGAGATCTGAGCATAGCTGATCTGTGGTAAGGAGAAACATAATAGATTCGATATTCATGATTATGTGTGAGATTTGAGCATAGCTGATCTGTGGAAAGAGAAAAGAATATACTTAAAATATTCATGATTATGTGTGAGATTTGAGCATAGCTGATCTGTGGTAAGGAGAAACATAATAGATTCGATATTTATGATTATGTGTGAGATTTGAGCATAGCTGATCTGTGGAAAGAAGAAAAAGAATATATTTCAATATTCATGTTCATGCGTGAGATCTGAGCATAGCTGATCTGTGGTAAGGAGAAACATAATAGATTCGATATTCATAATTATGTGTGAGATCTGAGCAAAGCTGATCTGTGGAAAGAAGAAAAAGAATATATTTCAATATTCATGTTCATGTGTGAGATCTGAGCATAGCTGATCTGTGGTAAGAAGAAACAGAATAGATTCAATATTCATGTTCATGTGTGAGATCTGAGCATAGCTGATCTGTGGTAAGAAGAAAAAGAATATATTTCAATATTCATGTTCATGCGTGAGATCTGAGCATAGCTGATCTGTGGTAAGGAGAAACATAATAGATTCGATATTCATAATTATGTGTGAGATCTGAGCATAGCTGATTTGTGGTAAGAAGAAACAGAATATGCTTAAATATTCATGTTCATGTGTGAGGTTTGAGCAAAGCTTATTTGTCATAAGAAGGAACAGCATATACTTCTATATTCATATTCATGTGAGGTTTGCGCAAAGCTGGTTTGTGGTAAAAGAAACACATGTTTATCGCACGTATCGTCATATATTCATATCATAATTATGTTTGGAATTTATTTTAGATATGCAAATGTTTCGATCAAAAGCGAGGATGACGTGTACCACGTGTACCACGTCATTAAACAAATATAGTGTTTCAGTAAAATGCTCTTACAGCTTGGAAAATCAGTCTTCGTAATAAGTCAATGTGAAGGCCCCTCAACTAACGACTACTCACAGATGGCAAGTTATTGGTATGCGGAATGCAGGCATGTCATTGAGGGCCATTGCAGGGATGTTGGTTGTCAGCCATCGAGTATCATCCCATTGGCGAAAAAACCCCAACAAACTAATGACGTTAAGTACCACAAGTGACAACTCCTAGGGACAATATGGCCCTTCTCACAATGCATCTTCTGTTCGTGTCAATTGTTAAAAACAAAGTGGCTTCCACATCGTCGTTTGTCTAATAGAACGGTCCGAAATCACCTAGGGTTCAGGCCCAGACGACCCATCAGACGGCCGTTGTCATCGCTAGAGCACAGAGCAGCACGGCGGTCGGACGAAAGTCTATTTCATTTGGTCATGACCGATGGCCGAGCTCGTGTTTGGCCCCGCAGGAACACATAATATTTACACATTATACGAGGGGCGATCAAAAAGCATGTAGCCTCAACAAGAAATGATTTAAGTGCAGTTGTTTTTATGTTGTTTTTTCTACATATTATCTGTCAGCCTCAAGTAAATTGATTTTGCTATGTTTCACCCTCACGATCCCCATTTGGTGGACTTTTTATCTTGGTACCCCCCCAAAATGCAAAATCTGCAATAAATACAGCACAAACTTCAGAGAACGAAATATGCAGGAAACATTTTGAATGTTTAAGCTAGGATCAAACTTAGATATTGAAGTGCATAAAAAAGCATTTTGAAACTACAAGTCCAGTGATTCCCCCTTCATGTTTACTGAAAGAGCTTGTTACGGAGACACTACCCAACCCCTTTCAGATGACGTAATCATAAGGACATAACTTATTCTAATGTTTTTACATATCTATACACGATGCCAATGGTGCAGGCTAAATACTGAATGTTCACACAAGTGTCAATTCTCAATATATTGTAAACAGTGCAAGTTTGTATATCTGGACACAATGTCACAGATTAAAATGAGGATGCCCTTTAAAAACAGCCCCTCAAGCAATTCAAAAGTTTGAATGTTGATTATGACGGATAGTTAAATATTATACTGAACATATTTTATATGATGTTATCTGAGGGCATACCATTATCCAAGATGTATCAAATGACAGTTCAGTATACCCCAAATGTTGTGATGACAAATATCTCGTTAGCCACATTACCCACATATGTGAAATTGCGGATATGGCTTTGCTAATGATTCCTTCAAAATACAATGGAAGCTTGTTAAACATTGGACATTGAGAATACCTTCAGGCTACCTACTTCCTGATGGCCCCTCGTATGTACAACACAAAAGTACCGTTTTCTCGCGGGTCCATTGATGGTGTGAGGGTGCCTCTCACATGACTGCAAAGTTGACCTTGTGACGAATAGACTAAATCTGAATGGACAACGTTACATCACTGAAATCCTAGGCAGGGTAGTTGTACCACATTTCCATGACCATCCTCTGAATGCTAGGCTAAACGACAATGCTAGGCCACATCGTGCACGTGCCGTTTGTGATTTCTTGCGTCAACAGGCGGTAGCAACTCGTCACTAGTCCAGATCTCAATCCATCATGATGCGTCAGAGAGATTCTCCAGTACAAAATTTTATCAAGAAAGGAAGGCAATACCTCAACGTCTGATACAGTCACTGGGAATGAGAGTCAGGGAGGTCGGCAGTCGGCAGAGGTTACACCAGATAATGGCATTATGCTAGGTTAGTGATACGTATGTATATGTCTTGAGAATTGTATGCCAGAATCTTGAAATTGACCGCACTTGATGTCATATAACCATTGATATCAACACGTCAAAATGAGAAATTTTGGGTCGTGTTTGCTTCTCTGAATAAACAGGTAAATAAAATGGTATAGTTTTTCATTCTTTCAGACTGGCCATCTGATTATTCCTTAAGGGCCAGTGTGTCCAGATATCAATTAATTAAATTTAGGGTTAAATATGTTCGTTTACTGTGGTCAATGATAATTGATACTTTGAAAAATATGGGGTGTTGCGATGCTGTTTACGATATCTTATAGATACAATTACGTGTAAAAGTTTATAGATGCGCGTGTGGTTATGGATGTACTACTGCCTGTAAATGTTGTTAAGCGTGTCATAAAGATACCATTCATTGTAAATGTTGGAAGATGCATGTCAGCGTATGGAGAATCATTAATTGTAAATATCGTCAGCCTGTGTCAGTTAACAGACCATACCTGTAAATGATGACCTGGGCTCGCTTCATGCATTGTCAGCGCCAACAAGCTGAATTTTGGTCTGAATACAAAAAACAACATACAATAACATACAGATGCTAACAACCAAACTTAGAGATAGCATGATTAAGAGCGAAAATACCACGACAAAAATGAAACTGCTAGTTAGAAAATGACTGCTTGACAGGTGCAACCAAAGAAGAAAGTAGAACCTATGCACATGGAACTTAATTAAGCATCCTCTGTTTCAGAACGGTGATATGAATTGAAAGGTGTCAAAACTTTCAAACTTCAAGAAGGCCAGTAATGTCTGATTATCAGACGGAAGATTGAATAAGTGATTACAGAAGAAAAACAAAACAAATGTAGGCAGTAGGTTAATTTGTATGCTCCACACGTATGAAACACTGTTGATGTGGACAAGCAGCTTATTGAATACATATTGCCCTGGCACGACACATGCCGAGATAGTGCTAGATCTCGCTGTCCGTATAGCCCCCGTGAAACCGAGGTGTTTGACATCAGTATCTCGTGTATCTGCCTCGTGCATGGATGACAGTCTTCAGCCTTCTCCTCATGCCACCAGTGAGCCTGCGGATACATTCCGGCACCAAATGACTCCCCATTTAGGAGGGACCATTGCCAGCAAACGGCAACCAAGAATATCAAGGGAGAGTGTCAATAGTATTATTCCGCAAGATCTGTCCCACAGGACAGGAACGATGTGTCCTAGCATTGTCGTCCATGAGCATGAGCGGGAAGCCACAGGGTGGTTATCAAAATGAGGCATAGCAATTCGATCAGGAATGTCCGTGATGTAACGCCGGCCATTAAGATTTCCCCGTACAGTCAACAATGTCGATTTACAGTCATGGGAGACACATCGTCACACCATAACTGGGCCTCCATCAAAGGGAACTGTAGGATGAATGTTCCTCGGGACATAAACAGTATTAATGCGCCTCCAAACTCTCAGACGACCTTACGTCTGACCAACGGATCCGTCTCCAGGTGCTAATATTGCAGCGCCGTGGAGCAAAACCACCACTGCCTTCCATATTCAGGAGTCAGACCTGGACGCCTGATGATTCTTCGGGACCTCAGATCAAGAGCATTGAGACGGTTACCCACGGTCATGGCTGACTAACGTGTGTTGGGCATCCAGAGTTGATTCAAAGGAATGCTCGTGGCTAAGGGTTGACGCCAGACGTAACGGACCAGATTGCTACCTTGAGTGGTCTTCACGGGTTGTCCTGGTCGATCTTTGACAGGGCCTGTTTGTATGTGCTACAGGATAGGTCTTCTGATGGCAGAGTGGAAGTAACCAAGCTGACACCAAATGGCCTTTAATGACACACCAGCTGCATGCATACCCCCTATCCGCCATCTCAGTGTCAATGAAAGTCTTCTCCATGCCAGGTGTTAATGGGTTAGATTGTGTGGACGAGGCGGATGGCACATTCACAAGTGTTACCCTTGAACGACCAGGCAGAAATACTGCTTTTCATGATATGAATGGATAGCATACTTTACATGCATGTGGGTTGTGTTGTACCAAACCCTTTATAACTGATTCCTTGTTTTCAATACTTGAAATATGCTACAAAACAATGGTATCATATCACCATCGTCGATACCTTCATCACCGTGATGAAATATATTGGGTGGGATGGGGTGCTTGATTAAGTTCCATGTGTATTCAAGGTACACAAAATTCAGACAAATAATATATTCATTCTTCCGTGAATTCCAGATGTCCATATTTCAGTACAATTATACCATTATACGTGATATAGAGACCATATCCTGTTTGATATAGTGTATACATAGTTTGTATCCTACATGTCTCCAGGTCTCAGAACATTTGCTGTAAACACCCCTGGCACTCGGCCGTCCGCTGTCCCCCTCGAGTATGTGCCTTGTGGTCCATCGTTGGGCATCGGCACCACGCTGAAGTTGATTGAAGAAACAAATATCTTCTTAAACGTTTTCGAATTTTACGCCTACCCAAACTTGAAAAAAACGTCTTGATCTTTATCGACGCTACTAGACTGACACTTAGGTAAATATATAATTAAGGAGAAAACACATTGCTCTTGTATTACTGATAGGGCTGCGTCAATGATGATGTGTCTAAAGTCATAACAGGTTTGTTGACATCGAATTTTCAGACTTCATTCCATACATTTTCATTATTTTATACTGGGCAGTGGTCTTAGCTAGTAGATGATACGCTCGTAGCAAGAGCAAGTATCAACCAGGTCAAAAAACAGACCCAACTCTGTCGACTTTAAGACATATAGTCTTACTGATGACTTATCCCGACCGGGGTTCACTAGGGGGATCAGTTGGAATATTGGGGACACGTTCATGTACGATAAACAGTATCAGGGCTAATGTTCTGTTCTGTATGTTCCACTGACAACCTCTACTTACATGACTGGAAGACCTGGCAAGTTTTGAAGAGTTTGGGGAGGGAAGGATCCACATCTTTGATGATCTGTTTGTACGCCTGCAGTAGTTCTTCCTGAAATGTAGGCATGATTTGTGTGCTTGGGTCCATTTAATTGAATTGATCACCCATTCACAGATACGAGTTGGATACTCCCCAAGATTGACAGTGATTCAATAAATACAGCTAACACCTTTATGTCGAAGTTAAGATACCAAGAGTTATACCCTGAGTTATCTGAGTATTCACACAATCGAAAAATAATTTGGCATATATCTCCTGACTAACATGAAGAATGACTTACACAGAAACACGAATTTGCGAATTAGTTTAAATAAGATGCTCAACTGCCGTCACTGGTTCACACCTAGTTTCGATAGATTTTACTGGTTATTATTTTTTGAAGGTGTACGAATATCTGATCCCGCTATCCCCTCAGTAAATGCAGTCCCTCTGCTTGGTTGTTCAGTCATGTTGCTGATCGTACCTATTCATTTCGATGGCTATCCGTCATTTGTACCTCAAGACAGCCGTAATTTCAATCTATCAAAGTTCGACACAACCTTGTTTGGCTGTATTGCGAAATAGAGTGTTCCAAGTTTGTAATTCGTACCGCTTATGAACCTGTAACTGTGCCACACTGTGTCAAGTCTAGTCAAGTCAAGTTTATTGTATTCAAGGCCTCCGGCCCATATACAAGGAGTTACATACATATACATAACTACAGTACATAATACAATGGCAATTATAATGGTTATTGCTTAGATAACCTATCATTTCTCAAGACAACAGCATGTTTTACAAATAGAGAAAGGTTGCGGATAACAGTTTCATTTCTAGAAGTGAGAATCGAGACAAAGGCTATTGTTGGATATTTTGATAGATAATTACTTGAAATATATTTACTTCTAAGATCACCATAATATGGACATACAAATATAAAATGAATTTCATCTTCAATAGATGAAGTGCATAATGGACAAATTCTCATATTTCTGTCTATAGACAATCTTCTACCTTTATTAATACTTAAATCTAATAAACCTAGTCGGAGCTGAACAAATGTGCGTCTGATATTTCTTGATGTCAATACAGATAAATATATTTCTGGTTGGATAAGTCTCTTAAAGGACCTATGTAGATCATACCTTGAACTATTTTCGAGAGTCGAATGCCATTCTTGATGGAACATATTAATTGACTGTTCTCGGAAACGTTTAAGAAACATTACCCACTGTCTGATTTAACCATGCAAATCCAAAGCCATGAGAAAATAAAAGGTTTCTAATATGTGAAGCCCAAGTTGTCTTGCCCATGTTATCAAGATGAACAAGCATATTATAAGCTATTTTAGGTATTCGTTGTTCATACATTTCCAGAATCTTAAGCCAATACTTCAAACATCTGATTTGTGAATTTATATAAACTGGATATCTCCCACATTCCCCATAAACCATACAATTTGGCGTTGCTTGTCCAACATTTAGAAATCTTTTACAAGCTAAGAAGTGAAGTTTCTCAAGACATTCTTGACGCTGAAACCCCCAAACTTCTGACCCATAAAGCATAATCGGTTGAATTTGTGATTCAAATAGTTTGAAAAATATGTTTGGAGTGAAGGCACCTATATTCTGAGAAACAGACATAACATTTATGAAAGCCTTCTTTGCACGTGATTGCAAATAAAGAACACTTTTTTTAAAATTCATCGTGTGAGAAAACATAAGACCAAGGTAGGTATAGTGATAAACGATAGTCAGTAACTTGCCATTGAAAAACCATTTCTCTTTTGAAGCGACGGGACCGCCTCTTCTGAAGATTACAATATTTGTTTTCTCGAAATTAACAAAGAGTTTCCAGTCGTTTGTGTAACGTTCTAAGATATTGAGTTGATTTTGTAAGCCAGTAATAGTATCGGACACCAAGATCACATCATCAGCAAAAAGTAGGATGAAAATTTCAAGCATATCAGGAAACATTTGAACGCCGTGTTTACCAGAGATTGTAATATCGTAATACAGTTCACTTATAAAGAAAGAAAACAACATTGGACTTAAGATACAGCCCTGTCGTAACCCTATGGGACAATCAAAGAAGTCGGTTACATCATCACCACAACGTACACACGATTTTATGTTAGAATACATTGACTTTAGAATATTATACATTTTTCCTTGTAAACCAGATTTTTTTAAACAATACCACAATTTGGAACGATCTGCAGAGTCAAAAGCTTGCTTGAAATCAACCAAAGCAACATATAATTTGTGCTTACTTCGTGAAAGACATTTTTGGATTATGGCATATAATGTGAAAATATGATCTGCAGTTGAATATTCTTTCCTAAAACCGGCTTGGCATTCAGGAATCAGGTTTCTCATATTTGACCAATTTGAAATTCTGTTATTTAATATGGTTGTAAATACCTTGCCTAAAATACTCATTAACGATATACCTCTATAGTTATCCGGGTTGTCTAAAGCTCCTTTTTTATGTAATGGAACAATAATTGAACGAGACCAGTTATCTGGAAATACACCTTTGTCAAATATAGAATTGAAACATTTCCGTCGGAAGGGCATTAACTCTACCTGAGAACATTTTATCATTTCAATCACAACGTTGTCAGGTCCAGATGCCTTACCAATCTTTAAATGAGTAATCGCATTTTTAATTTCATCATCAGAAATTTGTGTTTCTAAAATCAATTTATCTATTTCTTACTTCAGTCTGCTTCAATAGCGAAAATGAATCGAGCAAAGTTACGTAGCAACACTGAAGGCGATATGTTACGTTGGGGTCTCCTGATATTATCTCGTGCCCCCAAAATGATCCATTTCACCATGTTCCTTCCAGCCATGTTGACCTATCTTACTCTCAAGTAGTAGAACACAAGTCATGTTCCTTCCAGCCATGTTGACCTATCTTACTCTCAAGTAGTAGAACACAAGCCACGTTCCTTCCAGTCACGTAGAGCTATCTTATCCCTTATGAGAACACAAGCCGTGTTCCTTCCAGCCACGTAGAGCTATCGTACTCTCAAGGAGAAGAACACAAGCCATGTTCCTTCCAGCCACGTAGAGCTATCTTACTCTCAAGGAGAAGAACACAAGCCATGTTCCTTCCAGCCACGTAGAGCTATCTTACTCTCAAGGAGAAGAACACAAGCCATGTTCCTTCCAGCCACGTAGAGATATCTTACTCTCAATGAGTAGAACACAAGCCATGTTCCTTCCAGCCACGTAGAGCTATCTTACTCTCAAAGAGTACAACACAAGCCATGTTCCTTCCAGCCACGTAGAGATATCTTACTCTCAATGAGTAGAACACAAGCCATGTTCCTTCCAGCCACGTAGAGCTATCTTACTCTCAAGAAGAAGAACACAAGCCATGTTCCTTCCAGCCACGTAGAGCTATCTTACTCTCAAGGAGTACAACACAAACGTCGTCTTCTCCGTTCTTTCAAAACGTTTTATGGTAGACATGTGGATGGCATTTCCACATTTTATGTATCAGTGACAAAAAGTATGTCCGATGTAATTCAGTGTTTTGAATATATCATACTTTCTCGAAAGTTTTCGGTTTAATCGTTGACTAGGCTTAGCATGTGTTTATAAAGAGTGGTAACGTCTTTTCGCGGACACCTGGTGTCCTTATTATTTGATATTGATTCTTAAGCATTGTCTGCAGTATCTCATGGTGTCAATCACTGGCCCAGACTCGATCAGACCGCTTCGTACAGCTGTAATACTGCTGAAGGCGTCAAACAAACACATACTCATGAGTTAGTCAGAACTGAACAATCGACTCTGCTTTTAGCAGATATTTCTTGTGGATTGTGGAAAGGTTTTGTCGTTTCTATTTACAGTTATCTGTAGGCCCTACCCACTCTGTACAGATATCTTACCCCCGTGGTGTAGAAATACTGTGACTGGTTCATGATGACAGTGAAGTAGTCCCTGACAGAGAGATTGTAGCCTTGCTTGTTTATAATCTGGAAGAAGACCAAGGATATATCACAATATATTGTTGACAACTATGTCTAATCACAAAGTGGTGAAATACTGATGACATAGAGTGCGTCATCATAATAATCCCTAAAACTTGTTGTGGCATTAGTTGTGTTAGTATTTGATTGTATGATATCACCCATTCTAAGTTATGGGTCTGAAGTCTGGGGCACATCCTACTGTAATACTATTGAATCTGTCCATATTAAATTTTGTAAATATGTTTTGAAACTTGGAAAATCCACCTGTAACAATATGGCCTTGGGTGAATGTGGAAGAGTGCCTTTACAGTTTACTTATACGACCAATGCAGTGCAATACTGGTGCTGACTTCTAAACATGCCTCACTATAGATTACCAAAACAGTGTTATTTTCTGCTATTATCTCTAGACAGGGAAGGACGAAATTCACTGTCAACTAGAATTAAAAATATTCTCTTTCAATTTGGTTTTGGATTTATTTGGATAAGCCAGGCAATTGGTGATCACAAAATATTTATTGAATCATTTAAACAGGGACTACATGATAATTTATTCCAATCCTGGCAATCATCTTTGGACAGTAGCTGTAAATGTTTTTGCTATAAGCAATTCAAATCTTTGTTGAATGTAGAGAGCTACTTGATAAATAATGATATCCCTCAATATTTAAAAATTATATATGCCCGATTGCGGTGTTGTAATTTTAAACAAGCAGTTGAAACTGGTAGATACATGAATGTTGTATATAATGAAAGGCATTGCCTGTTTTGTACATTAAATGGTATTTTCGTTGTTGAAGATGAATGGCATGTGTTTTATATCTGTGATGCATATTCTCATATCAGAAATAAGTACATATCAAAATATTTTAGTAAATGTCCTTCAGTTATTAATTTTATATCTATATTACAGAGTAAAAATGTTAATATCATCAAGGATGTATGTCTATTTTTATACTTTGTTGACAAAAAACACAAATCTAAATGAAATACATATGTGCTCTAATTATCCATCAAATTATGTACACGTATTTTGGGCCGGAGGCCTGTTACTGAAATAAAATTCTG